ACGGGACAGAGAAAAAGAAGTATGATGTGTTGGTTCAGTTTAGTTACTGAGTCTGTTTCCCATGAATTTGCCTAGCCGACAGCTGTTTGCTTTGCTACTGCAGGTATGTGTTGAAGAAAATACGTCTTGCAAGGCAGACAGAATGATGCCACAAGTCTGGTCACCAAGAGGTCAACAGAAATTTTCATGTCCCCATGAATTTGTGAGTGTCGTGTGCTTGTATCCCTGCTCTTTGCTCCATCCTTTTTTGGTTCTGGTCTAATAATTAATTTTTACTGCAGGTAGAGACTTAAGAATTACAGGTAAAAATAAAAAAAGGTATATCTACATCCATGATCTAGTAAGCTTTATTTTTTCTGAAATGTATGACACATGCTTCAACATCGGTTTAGTTAATGATCATTCTATGGGGCAGTAGAATTCATTTGTTTGGATGCAACAAATCCAATTTAATTTTGCATAAGCAGCGCTCACCGCATTATGTACTAGAATTTGTCACAATCTTGCAATATACTTGCTGGGAAATATTTGCTTGATAAACTTGAAAGTCAACTCGAATGTACCCTACTATGATTTTTTAGGAATATCTGCCTATGGTGGTTTAGATCACATGATGCACATTTTTTGAATGGATAAGGTAGGCGAGATTTACAATTTAATGTTTTTTTTTTGCAATAGCTTCCTTTGTTCGTTGTTCCATTCGTCTACTAGATCAATACTCTTCCCCAATCTACTAGATCAATGCTCTTCCTCAATCTACTAGATGGTTCTGGATGCTTCGTCCCAAGATAAAACCGTGACGTTAGCACGGGCATTATACTAGTTTGGATAGTAGCAGGACGTGGTACTCCTTGTGACCACGCATGCGCGTACCCCAGGCTATGACGTCCGTGCTGACGATATAAAAAAAGAAAATATTTATTTTAAAATGTTATAACTTTTCAACCGTATATCTATTTTTAATTCTGTTTGCACCGGTGTGTTCTACGCGATAAGACGAACAAAACTAGACCTCACTTACATATGTTTCGAAGATTTTTTTTCTAATAGTATAACTTATAACATAAACTTATACCATATAACTTATAACATAGAACTTATAACATACAACTTATCCCAAAGCTTGAAAACACAAAAGTTATCAAACATAACTTATGTACAAAAGTTATTAAACACAAAGAAACAATTAACTTATAACTTATGTTAAAACTTGAAAACACAAAAATTATTAAACACAAAAGAACAAATTAACTTATAACTTATACTAAAATATGGAAACACAAAAGTTATGGAACACAGCTTATGTACAAAAGTTATCAAATACAATTTATGTACATAAGTTATTCTATACAACTTATGTACTTAAGTTATTCAATACAACTTGTGTGCATAAGTTATAAGTTATGAGATATATATTATAAGTTAATACATAAATTGGTACTAGGAAAAAAATCTTCGAAACATATGCAAGTGAGATTTAGTTTTGTTCGTCTCGTCGCGTAGAAGACACCGATGTAGATGAAATTAAAAATAGATATGCTGTTTGAAAGTTATAGCAATTTGAAATAAATGTTTTACTTTTTTTTTGTTTTCATGTCACGTGTCAACCCGAGGAGAAGTGAGCAGGGAAGGAGGGTGGGCGGCCTGGGATTGTTCGCTCAGAAGCGTTCCGCAGCCTGTTTGCTATCGTATTTGGCTTATCAGTAATGGCTTTTTAGTCAATGAATAATATTTTTTTTCTCACACTAAATTAATTAACAGTATTTTTAGCTATGATTTATAAGCTAAATCAGTCCAAATGAACAGGGCGCGGGTGAACAACCGTTAAAATGGATCTGTGGGCTGACCGGTTTTATATACCAGAGTCAGAGTCCAGAGGCGCTGCAGCCGGTCGAGCGGTCCTGAAGGCGAGCGTTTCTCAGGCGACGATCCTACATGTTCGGTCAAAGCTCCTGGTGCTGTCCATTCGAAGTTTAGAAATTCCATGTTGCTAGCGTGCTGCTTTGAATGGGCCAAAGGCGAGTTTAATTACATGCTAACCAGCCTTATCTTGACTGCAACGTGGGCCCGGATGAAACTAGTCCCATTACTCAGACGAGCTGTATACACATGTAAGCATGTGTTGATTAATTAACGTGGTTTTTTCGAGACAATGGCCTTCGCTTGTCTTATAATCCGTACTTTTCTGTTTGTTTTTTTAGTCGGAACAATGTTTTTCTCTCACAACAAATCAGTCAAAACAGAGTTCTAGTTTGTTTTTTCAGTGAAGCGAACGGGGCTAATAACGAATCTCCAGCCCATTGAGTAGATAAGACTGTCTCCAATAGATGATTCATATGAGCACTCAAACTTAAAATGGATAGCAGAAGATCTAAAATCAGCCTTCAATAGAGTACCTGTACGGGAGACTCATTTTAGGTTGTCTGAGAGACAATCCAAATATGGGTATCTTCTCTTTTGAAAATCCATTTGTAGAAATGATTATCTTTTGGGTTCTGTTGGTAGAGAAGATGTCGAATAGGTATCGAATTTTTTAGCTGTAGCGCTACCTAAACGTTACATGAGTCTTCTATTTTAGATGTTATCATTAGAGATACTCCATAAACCAACGCCAAGGCTGCCATACGGGTCCGGACAGAGAAACGAGCTTGTCACACTTGCATCGTGCACGAGGATCCAATCATGTGCCATGTACCAAATTTACATCGTTTCATATTTTTCTATTTTTTTCCCGAGCTGACACAAAATAAATATTGAAAAATATGACAATGGGCACGATCTCCACTGATGGTGGTGGTACCGCACCTCCAGTAAATTTCAGCTTCACGGTAAGTTAGCAGCAGTAATAAGTTCATTAGCGGCGTCCATGATGACTTCTCGTTACATTTACCATGACAAACGCTCCCTCACTTTCCTCAACTTTAGTTTCATATCTTCTACAGTATCTAAAGTTCACTAACTTTTCTAGTACACAGATTCTCTTTTTACTCTTCATTATAGATGGCCAACGGCCCGGCATGGGCCCGTGCCAGCATGGCCCAATAGCCAACGGGCCGGCACGGCACGCCGTGCCTCACAGGGCCACGGGCCTGGCCTCCGGCCCAGGCACGGTACTATGGGCCGATTTTCGTGCCGGGCCGGCCCGCGAAGCACGACCAATTTCACAGGCCGTGCCAGCGCGAGGCCCACTGGCTACCGACAGAGAGAGGGGAAGGGGGTCGACGCCGCTCGACGCCGAGGAGATCGACGCCGGATCCGGAGGAGGCTGACGCCCTCGAAGCTGGATCCGGAGGAGCCTCTCGAGGCCAGCCTCCACGCTCGTCGTCCCTGGATCCGGTCGCGCCCGCCCTCGATCCGCCGCCGGGGACGCCACCACCCTAGATCCGCCGCCGGAGGCCGAGCACGCCCTGGATCCGCCGGCAGGGGATGCCACCACCCTTGATCCGCTGCCGGAGGATGGGCATGCCCTGCATCTGCCACCGGTGAGCGCGCCCACCCTGGATCCGCCGTCGGGGAGCGCCACACGCCTCCTCGCGCGTGGATCTCGTCGTCCTCCGCCTCCTCGCGTCGGATCTCGCGAAGCCGCCGGATGCGGATCTCGTCGGGACTGCGAGCTCGGTCGATGCACCGCCTGCTCCTAGCCGCACCGCCGCCCCTTGATAACCATGCGTTGCCGCTCCTCGAGGACCGCGCGCCGCCGCTCTAGGGCCATGTGCCAGCGCTGCATGGTGCGGTCCCAGTCGATGGAGCTGGAGGAAGGGCAGCAGGGGGCGAGGGGTAGCACGGGAGCGCGGTGGCGCCGCAGAGGAGTGAGTGCGGTGCGGCCGCGTGGGGAGGGGACTACGCGGGGCGTCGAGGAAGGGGAGGGGAAGGGAGTTAGGGTTCGGGGCCGCGTGGGGCTGCGCGAGGAGGGGTAGGAGGAGGGGAATCGGGGGTGGCCAGGTGGAAACTGGGAGCGTGGGGTTGCGGCCGCGCGGCTGCGCGGGGGAGGAGGCTGCGGCCTGCGGCAGACGAGCAGGCCGGGCCGCCAACGGGCCTCCGGTTCTGTAGCGGGCCGTGCCGTGCCGGCCCACGTGCCTGGGGTAAGGCCCAGGCACAGTCTGCTCCTCCGGGTCGTGCCAGCTCGAGCCCGCTAGCCACCGGGCCGGGCGTGCTTGGGCCGGGCCAAAAAAACAGGCCTTGGGCTGGGCCGACAGGCTCGGGCTGCATGGTCAACTATGCTCTTCATTCAAGCAAAAGAAGAAACACATGTTTTTCATCTCATCTAAAGGTTACCACCAAACAGCCTGCTCAGAACTGTTGACTTGTTCGTTGCTGGTTCGTGAGGAACTGCTGGCTGGTTTGTGTGAGAGAAAAATACTGTTATGACTGGAAGACACTGTTCATATGAACAGTAACCGTGTGAGAGGGCTGGCCCGCCAGCGCCAGCCAGCCAGCCCAGCCGAACGGGCTGAAAGTTGGTAATTAGTAGTACCATATCCAAGCCATACAAAATTCTAACAACTTCCATGAAGTACTACACATACTAGTGACTTTCTAAATAAAAAGGAGTTAAGGGAATCAAACTTCAGATTACTGTAAGTTCAAAAAGAAAACCAGTACTACGTGATTCCCTGGTTGCAGTTGCAGCTTTTTTTTAGTTAAAAACCCCTCAACCCCTTTAGATGAACAGCCCGTTCGCTTTTAAGTTTCAGCCAGAGCCCGGACTTATCAGTACTTTCCTCTCGTAGCAGAGCAGAGCACGCACGCTGCGCATCAGCGGCGTGTTCGGCTGGGGCTGGCTGGTTGGCTGGGCTGGCCAGCCCCCTCACATGGATACTGTTCATATGAACCAGCCAGCAGTACTTCTCTCACATAAACGAACCAGTAATGATACGAACCAGCCAACCGAACAGGCTGCAGACCAGCGAGCGCTCCCTTCTCTCTGCCTGCCTGCCAGCGAGAGCGAGCGCTCCCTTCTCTCTGCTCCTCGGCCGCGTCGCCTCCGCCTCTGGCCGGAAATGCCGTCCCCCTCCGAGCCTCCACGCCCGTCCTGGGTCATCCTCGGCGCCATCCCGCGCGTCTCCGCCGCCGCCGCCGCCGACAACCCCTCCATCGACCTCGCCGCGCCCCCGCGCGTCTCCCTCCTCACCATCCCCGAGCACATCTTCATGGACAAGGTCACGCCCCACAACTACCCAAGCTCCTCGCCGCCGACCCCTCCGGCCTCCTCCTCCTCCACGCCGACCAGGGCCGCGCCAAGGGACCCACCAGTCCTTCTGCTGGCTCGCCAACGTCGCCGGCTACTTCGTCCTCCACGCCGACGCCGACTCCGCGCCAGCTCAAGCGGCGGCGCACCAGCAGCGTCATCAGGCACCCCCGCATCCTCTCCGCCGACCTCTTCCTCACCGTCACGCCGACGCCGCACCCGACGGCGTCCAGCAGCAGCGCCGCAACGGACGTCTGCTGCTTCGTCCTCGACGCCGCCTCTTGCACGTCCCACCGCGTCCCCGACCCCGACCCCGCCCCCGGCTTCGCTCGGTTCGGCGTCATCGCCGCGCCGGACGGCGCCAGCTTCATGGTCGTCGGCCTCCGGTGCCCGATCGGCAACGACAGGGCCTCGCTGCACTGCTTCTTGTCCCGGACTGGCGGCTGGGTCACCAAGGACGTCAACAACCCGCGCCCGCACCGCGCCTGGACCTTGAGCGACGTCATCGCCCACGACGGCAAGCTCTGGTGGGTCGACACCAGCAGCAGCACCACCAAGGGGCTCCTCTACTGCGACCCCTTCGCCGACCAGCCGAGCATGTCCTTCGTCCCCTTCCCGAACCACGTCACCGCCGTCGAAGCCAGAGCCAAAGCCACAGCCTACGACTACGTGCAGGTCGCCGACGGCACGCTCCGCTGGGTCCTTGTGTTATGCGATCTTGACGAGACGGCGGACGACGACGGCTACCGGTTGGAGTTGGAGGTGCTCCCGCACTGGCGCGGTGATTTCTCCTTGTGCTTCATCTGGGAGTCCGACAGCTTCAAGACGACTGAGATGCCCAAGGACGAGCAACCCGTGGTCGCGCTCATCGACCCCAACGACACCGACCTCCTCTACTTCTTCTTCGGCGACTACCTCTTCGGCTTCGACATCCGTAAGCATGTGGTGCTGGGGTACGCACCGCACAGTATGGCCGATCCCGACGTCTCCGATCAATCGATTTCGTCACTGTTTCAGCTCCCCTTTTATTTCTGTCTCTGCTTCTGCTCTGCTTTGCTGTGCCTGTGCTGTGATATTAACATGATCGCTAGCTGTTGCTGTGAGCGTGCACAAATATACCAATTGTTTTGTGCTTTAGTCGCATGCATGGTCATGCAGGTAAATTCATACTCATGTCATCTTCATCTATATAACTCCCTGTTTGCTTATCGTTTCTATGACTTATAAGCCGGCTGATGCTGTTTTGTTGTGCAAGAAAAACACTATATCATGACTGATAAGCATGGCTTTTCTTGAGTCCATGGAGGATGAAGCTCCGATAGTCTGATCCATTCATGTGCCGTAGAATTGTGTTAGCGAGTAGCTGGTGTTGTGTGCCACGTATATGTCCAAAACGCAGGGGGCTGTTTTGCTAGTTTAAAATTTGTTCTCTATATATTTTGTTGCCTGCGTGAACTGCTACCTAATGATGTCCTGATGTGCTGTATAATATTTTGGGCCTAGTTTATTTAGATCTTGAAATGTGACGATCCTTTTTTGAGGAACTATGGCATAAATACCATATTACTACATAGTTATACGCCTTGTTCGCTTAGCTCATAAACCGTATTTTTTCAGCTAACGAATAGTATTTTTCTCTCACAACAAATCAGTCAACAATACTTTCAGTCATGGCTTATCAGCCAAGTGAACATGGCTATAGTTGTTGCATGCTGTCTTCTAACTGATTCTGTATATGCACATGCTTTGAGTTACTATAGATCAGCTGGCAAGTTCATTTGTTCATTAGTACTGCCCGTCGTTGTTTCTTTGAAATTGATCAGCTTAATTCAAGATGGAGAATGAAATGAAGTCTTGTTTGAGTAGAGGTTCTGAACATTTGAAGATAGGTTCGGGTATAGATCGAGCCTGCGGCATAGATGCATGTTCTGATCTCTCATTTCCACTACTAAGCAGGACATCTCTCTTTGGAAATTGAGGGTTCTGATTCCTGAAACATCACTTTGCTTAATTATTTTGAGTAGCAGTAGGTATATACATACTAACATAACATGTGGCACAATGTTTTTGCGTGCTTATATGTAATCTAATTATAGTCATGCATGTAGTTGTATGGCAGCCTACCAGTTTGCAAGCTTCAGTCGAACTATCCAAATAGTGTAGTGTAGGTTAAACTTACCTTCTCAAGCAATAATATTATAAAAGCGTGATGTCTATTCCTGCTTCTATAAGTGAAAGCCATGCATGTAGATATGTGTATGCATGGCAGTGGACTGCTGGAGACATGCATGATTGATGACTAAATCTGATCATATACTGTAATGCCTGTGCTTTTGCCTTCTGTACACATATATTTGGGATTGCGGGGCCTTAACTTTGTATGTGTGGCCATTGGCATGCGGCGGCATAAACCATCTTTTTGTCTTATTAGCTAGTCGGTCTTAGAATAGAATTTAACAAGTTCACCTATTTGTGCTCGATCGATCTTATCTTGTAAAAATTCAAAGAAATGGGCTGAAGTCCTATTGGTGTTGACTACTAACACGTGGTGTGGTATCCATCTGCTGTGGTTTGGCAGGCGGGAAGGCTCCTAAGAATACCAATGGTGGTGCTCATTAAGGAAGAATCGTCTGCAGGCAGCCGGCAGGGTAGAGGATTAATCTGACGATACGACTGCAAAGTAAGGAGTGTATCTTCAGCTGCGTGAAAGCACGCCAGGAGAGGATGCTATCTTTCTGATGATACGATGGATCGCTTGATGTTTCTTAATCGATCTGTTTGTTAGATAGATGATGAGCAGTTTTATGCAATAAAAGGAACGCACTTTTGGGTTTAGTTTTTGAGACGATGTACGTCGTACTGATAGATGATGCATGGTGCGGTTCCTGCTGTATTTCTTCGATCATGTGTGCTAGTAGTATACTCCTATGTACTACTGCTGTTGCTGTGCTGCTGGATAGAAAACGGAAGTCGCTGCGGGCCGGAGCCCCGATCGAGCTGGCTGGGGTTATTTGCTCTGCTCTTTTGCTCCCAAAAAAAATGCTCTGCTCTTGCACTGCAATACTGTGCATGTCAAGTCCCGTGCGCGTGCGTGATGATCTCCCGGTTCATTAGCACTCCCTTGCACTGATGAACGTACATATGATTGTGGACTGTCTGTGCTGAAAATGTCTAGAATATACTCCTGCTTCTTTCTTTTTGAGATGGTAGGGATATATAAATAAATACTCCTAGTTGGTATGGTAGCGCAGCGGCAGGCGAAAATGCCTTCGGGGCAGTAACGTACTACTACTAGTGTGTCCAGCCCGTTTGAATATCGAAGGATATCCCATTGCGCATTGTTGGATAGCCGATATTTGAGTACGGTATGTTCGGCTGGTATTAAAGTCGAGTGATAAGCTGGCTGAAGCTGTTTTGTTGTGAAAGAAAAATACTGTAGATTCTAGCTGATAAGTTCAAGCGAATAAGCCTGGACCAGGCCTGTCCGTTCCTTGTGTTGGGTCGCATGCATGGCCCATGCCAATCGTAGAAGCATTTGCATGCCGCCTTCCCTACTTTCCCCTCCATGCATTTCGCAAGCGTCATGCCACCCTTGGCCATTATAAAAGAACTAAAAAACATCCTCTCCTTAATTTAAGCATCAAAACTTTAGATCTTCCCTATTTGCCCAAACTTTAAATTTACCGTGTGTTTGGGCATACTATACCGTGAACTGAAATGTGGGGCCACAAGTAAAAAGACTTGCATGTCCCTGCCTAATTACACATAAAAGGGGAGAAGGGGATGGAAGCCGGTGCCATGGAGGGCGGCGTCACGGGGAGGGGGGTTGCTAGCATCCGCCCAATCGGACCCTAACCCCCTGCCGATAGTTTTCCCGCCCACCATAACCCCGCTGCGGCCCCCACCTTTTCCCGTGCGCTTCTTTGCCCAAGTAAAGAAAATAACAAATATTCACAAAATAGTAAAAATAGAGAGAGCGCAAAGGTTTGAACCCAAGACCCCATGGTTTATTATGTCATTCCCCTACCACTACAACATATTAATGTTTGTGGTAGATACGGAATATTTTCACTATTAAACCATATCAAATCAGAAAAATATATCACACACCATCTTCATAAGTACCACATGAATACTAAAAAATAATCATGGAACATTAAAATTATACTATATGCACATCCAAAAAAATATCGTACAACATCGCATGTATAGCATGTGAACATAAAAAATACAACATAGAATATCACATGTATACCATGTGAACATCAGAAAAATATATCTAGAACATCACATATATACTATGTGAACATCATAAAATATGACACAGAACATCACATATATACGATGTGAACATCAAAAAAATACATCATAGAACATCATAACATATATCATAGAACATCACATGTATACTACGTGAACATAAAAAATACATCACAAAACATAAAATAATTAAGTATAGTAAAAACAAAAAAGAAATGAAATGAAAGAAAATATAAAAAATGTAATAGAGAAAAATTAAAAAAATATCACATGGATATTTTTCAAATATCTTAAAATAGACTATAGAATACCATATGTATACTAAGTGAACATCACTAATACACCATAGAACATCATGTCAGTGTTTGATGAACGACAACCCGTTATGGGGGTACCCGGGACGGTCTTCGAAGGGCTTCGGCGTTGTTGGTGTAAAAAAATATGGCAATGCAGCCAACTCACAGCAAGTCGAACGATGTGAACGGAATGAGATTGGAGATCTGCTTGGTTTCACACAGGACCAGTCGATCCTGAAAATCCCGAAGGCGTGCCAGTCAATTTAACCTGCAATTGACAAGGAAAGAAAACTTATCAGTAATTTAGGCTGGAACATGCCGGTGTTGCTCCGACAGTTCTAAGTATGCTGCTTAGAGAGCAGCCAAATAGGAGATCGACTAGATAGCCGATACGAGGAGAAATTGACTGTTAAGCACTGTGATGCTCGTGGATCATGATTAATTTATGATAGCAAGTACGATGCACTAGATATAAGTAATATCAAGAAAGCACCATCAGCTAGATAGATATAACCAGTGTAAAGCATTGAGCCAATAAGTTTAACGAGAAAAGATATAACATGCGAACAAATCGACTGTCTAATACAAATTAATCTACAAACGCTCTGGATCTAATCTGTTACCATCAATAGTGAGGTTCGATCGGATCGATACAGCTATGATAATAGTAACAAACTAAAGCCAATGAATCTATAAAACTATTTATATATTGACAGGTTCATAGAAAACATGCTATATGTGTGAAAGCACAGACGAATCAGCTAAAATAGCCGATGCAGGCATAACAAATAAACAGAGTACATATCTCGATCATGAACAAAACCACTAATTGATAATTTCTGATGTAAAGTCTTACCAGTGAGGTTCGACCGGGTCGATGCAGCTATGATAGTGTCATTAGATTAGATCTCATTAACTATCGAGTTTATTCAAGATTGAAACATGTCTTTAGATGCATACTATGTTTGATTGGAATATAGATAAAACAACCGATCTAGCAGAATTAAGCCATCAATCATAAGATTCGAAGTGTGACCAGACTAGAAGATGATCAATTAAGATGATATGATGTCGATCTATGTATCTCAATCAGGTGATTTGTTATAATTAATAAAACATTAACTATAACAAGATCGATAACTAGTGAATAAACCAAAAACAGTAAGGAAGATCTTACTAATTTTAGCAGATTCGATAACCGGTGATATTGTGTTAAACAAGTTATTTAATACAAGATCGATAACTTTGATCTATATTATGGTTCGTAAGAGATCAATTAGCTGATGCAACCTTACAAACTAAGATACAAATCGATAACTAACTTATATTATACTCGTAAAAGATCAATCAGCTGATGCAGCTTTACAAGCACAATATAAGTCATGGCGTTACTCACAAGCAAGCTGGAAGTCGATCAGTCGATGCAGCCCTGCTTGTTGAAGAACTCACCGAGATCTACAGTACCCCTACTCCTAAAGGTTGGTGTAAAGCCGAAAAAAGTAATTGTATTGATTGATTGTTCGTTTTCTTTATAATAGCTGGGGTCCAATATTTATACCTGGAACCTAAACATGAATCCTACTCAAATACGACTCATTACAATTTTTGGAATAAAAGAAAATATTTCTAACTTAAAATAACTTTAACCCTAATCTTTTCTTTTTTTATAGAGTCCGACATATTTTTCTCCAACGCCATCCATACGTAGTCCATTGACGTTATCTACTGATGTCATAAAAAAAGAGTCGATTCCAATACCGCATCTGAATCAGCTGATATCAATTCACATCTAATCGATTTCTTAAGGGTACAATCTTAGAAGCTTCAAGTTTCCGTGTTCTCTCTGCTAAATTTTGGTGTAAACAGGCGTACGTAGAACTCGACAGTAAACGCAAAGATACGAACGATTTATACTGGTTTGGACCCTCTTGTCGAGTAATGGCCTTTACGTCCAGTTGGCATGTAGCCTTTTGTGTTGGATTGATTGTATGATTGTTAGGGTTACAAGGGGGTGCACCGTACCTTTGTTTATATAAGGAAGAGGATAAGGACACGTATCTAGTCCTAGTCGGTTACAAGAGAAGAGTTCTAGTCCCATTATAGAATCTAGCTTTCATAGTAAGCCGACTAAGTCGATCTGGAATAGCTTGAAGTCCACGCTACATTGTCTCGCGTCCTTCAACAGATTGTGGGCCATCCTAGGGCCCATCCATGTAGTACCCGCATGGGGAACCCCTAGGACCCTGGTCCGTCAAGCCCCCGAGCATGTCATGGTTGAACTCGGAAGCCTTGTTCCTCCTGGTCTTGCCGAGTAGAAACAAGCATAGTCCGAGTGCTTTTATGAGTGAAGCCATGAGATGCTCTGTAAAGCCTCTAGGTGACGTGCATTTTTTAGAAAAGTGCACTCACTAAGTGTAGCCCCCGAGACTCTTGCTATTTGCAAAACAAAGAGTTAGAGGATCTAAAAGAAAAAATATCCGTAGAGGATATGTACCCTGCAGCCCCTGAGCCTATGTTCGAGTACTTGTACTCAAGATAAGGATCTAAAAAGAATATACTTAAGGATGAGAGTGTCAGTGAAAATTATTGTCATGTCTGCTTGTACAGAAGCAGGTAAGACGTGTCATAGTCACATGTAAAGATTTAGTACAGTTGGTCCAAAGATGCTCAGGATATTCATGGGAATATGCCATCAAAGGTGCTATCGGGTGAACTGTTACTTCACATGAGTTGAGATAAGGCCGTCGGTACACTGAAAACGTGTAGTGGGATGCACTGTACCCTTGTAGTATCGTACATGGACTTGTGAGGAAGTCAGTAACTTGTCCATGTACTCCTCGTGAACCTAGTTCAGAAACACTACCAAAATGCCTATACCCTCCTGGCGAGCACTTGAACCTTAGTTGTACAAGAAGCAAGATAGCTCTGAGTTTAAAGGTTGCGAATATGGTGGTGAGTGAAGTAGACCAGCCTCCAGGAGTACTCAGTTGGTATAACCGAGAGCTATAGTGACTACAAGAATTCTTGTGAGAAGGTTTAGAAGTAGGCTAAACCCGTAGTTGT